TAGGTGGGTGCGTAGGGAAGGAGGCCCCCAGCGAGCCTGTGGAAGGGGAGAGACCCACGGGGTTCAAGCAGGCTCGGTGCTGGGTCCTCACCCTGGGCCACTGCAGCCCCATGGAACGCTCCAGGCTGGAAAGGAGCTGCTGGAGCTGAGCAGGAGCAGCTTGTGCCCAGGCAGCCAAGAAGCCCCCAGCATCCTGGTACTGCACCAGCACCAGTGCGGCAGCAGGAGCAGGGCAGGGATCGGGCCCCTGTGCTGGGCACTGGGGAGGCTGCACCTCAAATCCTGTGCTCAGCTCTGGGCCCCTCACTGCAAGAGAGACCTTGAGCTGCTGGAGCGGGGCCAGAGAAGGGAACGGAGCTGGAGCAGGGCCTGGAGCCCAGGTGTGATGGGGAAGGGCTGAGGGACCTGGGGGGTTCAGTGTGGAGAAGAGAAGGCTCAGGGGGGACCTGATGGCTGCCTGCAAGTGCCTGAGAGGAGGATGGAGCCAGGAGGGGCTGGGCTCTGCTCCCAAGGAACAAGGGATGGGACAAGAGGAAACGGCCTCAAGCTGCCCCAGGGCAGGTTTAGATGGAGCTGAGGAACAATTCCTTCCCCAGAGGGTGCTCAGGCATTGGAACAGGCTGCCCAGGGCAGGGGCACTGCAAGTGCTCACAAACCCTATAGACAAGGCCCTCAGTGCCGTGGGTCAGTGGTGGCCTTGGCAGTGCTGGACAATGGTTGGAGCTGATGTCTTGAAGCTCTTTCCCAGCCCAGCTGATTCTCTCATTCCATGACTCTGGAGCATTATTTCTATCCAGGACCAAGCCCTGCACGGGGCTGAACCCCAAACTGCCCCATTGGATGCTGCCCTGCACCCCCCGACCACAGCTCTCCCCACAAGGAACCAGCCCCACGCTGACTTTGGACCAGGCTCTGCCACCCAGGACTGCTGGGAAGGCAGCTTGGGAGCTGCTCTGGGGCACAGGGACACGGTGCCCCCCCTAGAGAGGCCCCACAGAGTGGGGGGCTCGGACTCACCCGCAGTCATTGACAGCCATCAGGTTGGAGACGAGGACGAAGGGGTAGGTCAGCATGCTAGCGAAGAACTGCAAAGCACAGTGGGGCTGGTGGGCAGCAGCTCCAGTGGGGATCTGCCCCCTGCCCTCCATGTGGGGTGATCCAGCCCCTAGCAATCCATTCCCTTGGGAACAGGGATTCCAATCCCTTGGGAAAGGGGATGCCATTCCCTTGGGAACGGGGGGACTCCATTCCCTTGGGAAAGGGGGTTCCATTCCCTTGGGAAAGGGGGTTCCACTCCCTTGGGAAAGGGGGTTCCACTCCCTTGGGAAAGGGGGTTCCACTCCCTTGGGAAAAGGGGATTCCACTCCCTTGGGAAAAGGGGACTCCATTCCCTTGGGAAAAGGGGATTCCATTCCCTTGGGAAAGGGGGATTCCACTCCCTTGGGAAAGGGGGTTCCATTCCCTTGGGAAAAGGGGATTCCACTCCCTTGGGAAAAGGGGATTCCATTCCCTTGGGAAAGGGGGATTCCATTCCCTTGGGAAAAGGGGGACTCCACTCCCTTGGGAAAAGGGGACTCCATTCCCTTGGGAAAAGGGGGTTCCATTCCCTTGGGAAAGGGGATTCCATTCCCTTGGGAAAGGGGGTTCCACTCCCTTGGGAAATGGGGGATTCCATTCCCTTGGGAAAAGGGGGTTCCACTCCCTTGGGAAAAGGGGGTTCCATTCCCTTCACCCTCCCTGCAGGAAGGCAGCATCCCCCCACGCACACCTTGTACTCACCCCAGTAACTGCCTGGGAGTAGCTCTTGATCTCGGCCATGGTTGAGACCTGCAGGAGGAGGAAAAGCACCTTTAACCCCACGGAGCCCCCCCAAAAGAGGCCCCTGTCCCCCCAGGACCATCCCTGGAGCCCCCCCGTACCCCGTTCTCCAGCGCGTACGTGTTGATGAGGTAGGCCAGCATGTTACAGAGCCAGAGCGAGAGGATGTCCCCGAGCAGGCGGGGGATGAGGCCGCTGCAAGAGAAGAGGCAGCAGGGATGTGAGCTCGGGATGGGCCTGGAGGCAGGGGAAAAGGAGCCTGGAGCAGCTCTTCCTGCAGTGCCGGGCCAAGGTGCAGCTCCTGCCGGGGCAAAGGGAGAGGAGCCGGGTGCAGAGGGACCTGCAGCATCCCCGCTGGTGACCAGGGAAGGCTCAGGATCCCTGGAAGAACCCAGACACCACGGGAAGGACGGAAACCCCCAGTCCCCAGCAGCATCCGAGGACCCCCGGAGCCCCCCGAGAGGAGAGGCCGGAGCTCCACGGAGGTGGGGAGCATCACCCCACATCCCGCCCCCCAAGTCCCCATGGGCAGCACTCACGCAAAGAAGCCCAGGATCCCTTCTTCCCGGTAGATGGTGGCGAAGGCGCTTAGTGTCCCACTGGGAGACAGAGCAGAGTGGGGGGGACCGTGGGTGGGGGGGACCCCATGGGTGGGTGGGCAGCACCCATGGCAGAGCTCCCCATAGCAGAACCCACCCCATACCTGTACTTGGTCTCCCGGCCGATGAACTGCACCATGCAGCGGAGGGTGATCACTGTGGGCAGAGATGGGGGGGGTCAAGATGGGGGGCACAGGGATACCCCAATGACACAGCAGTGACAGCACCCATCACCCAGCTGGTGGGGCGGGGGGGGCACCTACCATGGAAGGGGTGGGTGATGAGGGTGGCAGCGGAGCGAGCGACCATCTCTCGGGAGGTCTGGGGAGAAAGGGGGGGTCAGGGACACACATGGGGCCCCTCTGCTTCCACCCCCAAGCACCCTCCTCATCCTCACCTCCTTCAGCACCTGCTCCAGCGACGACACCGGCTCCTTCTTGCTGGCTCCAGGCTGGGGAGGGAAAGAGGCGTCGGGGGGGGGGGGAAGAGACCCCCAGGAGGCACCGGTCCCTCCCCAGCACCCCTGTAAGGACCCAGGGGAGAGCCCCCTGAGCTTTTCCCTTGCTGCTGGGATGCTCTGACTGCAGCATTGGGCAGGTGGGATGGAAGGAAGGGGGGACTGGAGGAGAAGGAAAGGAAGAAGGGATGGAGGAAAAGGAGGGATTACAGGGGAAGGAAAGGAAGAAGGGATGGAGAAGAAGAAGGAGGAATAGAAGAAAGGATTGGAGGAAAAGGACAGGAATGAGGGATGTAGGAAAAGGAGGAATTGGAGTGGAAAGAAAGGAAGAAGGGATGGAGAGGAAGGAGGGATTAGAGGACTACAAAAGGAAAAAGGGATAGAGAAAAAGGAGAGATTAGAGGAGAAGGAAAGGAAGAAGGGATTGAAGAGAAGGAGGGATTACAGGGGAAGGAAAGGAAGAAGGGATGGAGAGAAAAGAGAGACTGTAATGATGGAGAAGAAGAAGGGATTGGAGTAGAATGAGAAGGGATAGAGAGGAAGGAGAATAAGAAGGAATAAGAGGGAAATGAGGGATTGGAGAGGGAAAAGGGAAAGAAGGGATGGAGGGGATGGAGAACAAGGACGGATTGAAGTAGAAGGAGGGGAAGAAGGGATACAGGGAAACGAGGGATTGGAGTGGGTGGAGGAAAAGAAGGGATGGAGGCAAAGAAGGAGGAATAGAGGGGAAGGAGGGACGGAAACGATGGAGGGGAAGGAGGAGGAATAGAGGGGAAGGAGGGACGGAAACGATGGAGGGGAAGGAGGAATGGGACCGATGGAGGGGAAGGAGGGACGGGAACGATGGAGGGGAAGGAGGGACGGGAACGATGGAGGGGAAGGAGGAGGAATGGAGGGGAAGGAGGGACGGGGACGATGGAGGGGAAGGAGGAAGAATGGAGGGGAAGGAGGGACGGGGACGACGGAGGGGAAGGAGGGACGGGGACGATGGAGGGGAAGGAGGAGGAATGGAGGGGAAGGAGGGACGGGGACGATGGAGGGGAAGGAGGAAAAATGGAGGGGAAGGAGGGACGGGGACGATGGAGGGGAAGGAGGATCCCCTAGGGAGCAGCGTCCCTGCACCTACCCCAGCGTCCTCAGCCTCCTGGTACTGCTGCAGAGCAAAGGTCAACGTTAGCGCAGGGAGCGGGGCCGGAGCCACAGCAGCCCCGAGCCCCGGTCTCCGTCCCCCGTTCCCCCCCACCCCGGTACCTGCAGCACTTTGCTGTGCACCACGGTGCCGATGGCGCTGGAGCAGAGGCGCGGGACGAGGCCTTTGAAGAGCCCCGCTCGGCCATCGACCTTCACGATGTGCTTGGCTACGGGAGGCGGAGGAGTCAGAACCCCCCCACACCACCACCGGGACCCCCCACACCACCACCGGGACCCCCCCATCCCCTTCCCCTCCGTTAGCCCCGCTCACCATAGGAGAAGAGCCCCGGGAGCTGGTAGACCTGGCGGCCGAAGATGTTCCTCCCCAGCGTGGGCGGCAGCGGCTCGTACCCGACCTGCAGCGGGAGCCTGCAGCCGGCACCGGGAACCGAGACCCCCCCCCCCGCCCCTTTCCGTTCCCGGTTCCCGGCCCCCCCCCTTACCTGCACCAGCACCTTCACGTACATGAGCGGCTGCGAGAGCACCGTGAGCCCCGAGCCCAGCAGCACCTGCGAGGCCGCGTCCGCCATGGTGCCGCCGGCGTCACGGCGCAGAAGGACACGGCCGCCGCTTCCGCTTCCGTCCCCGTTGTCGTCGTCCGTCCCCGCCCCGGTACTTCCGGCGCGCCCCAGCACCGCTTCCGGGCGGGACGGGGAGGGCCTAAAGGGGGGGTACAGGCCTTGAGGGGTCGCCATGGCAACGGGGGGACGGGTGTCACCGGGCCTAAAGGTGGGGTACAGGCCTTGAGGCGTCGCTATGGCAACGGGGCCTAAAGGGGGGGTACAGGCCTTGAGGCGTCGCCATGGCAACGGGGGGACGGGTGTCACCGGGCCTAAAGGTGGGGTACAGGCCTTGAGGCGTCGCTATGGCAACGGGGGCGGGTGTCAACGGGGTAACGGGGCCTAAAGGGGGGGTACAGGCCTTGAGGCGTCGCTATGGCAACGGGGGCGGGTGTCAACGGGGTAACGGGGCCTAAAGGGGGAGTACAGGCCTTGAGGTGTCGCCATGGCAACCGGGGGACGGGTGTCACCGGGCCTAAAGGTGGGGTACAGGCCTTGAGGCGTCGCCATGGCAACGGGGGTTGCGGCCTGAGGCGTCGCCGTGGCAACGGGCCTGGAGGGGCCGCCATGGTAACGGGGCCTGCGGGGCGGCCATGGCGGCGGGGCCCGGTGCCCGCGGAAGGAGGCGGCGGCGGCAGACGCAGTCCCGGCCCCGGCCCCGCTTTAATGGCGAGCACAGGCGGCCCGGCGGGACAGGGCGGGGCCTGGAGCCGCGCTCGGAGCACGGCCCGGCAGAGGCGGCTGCGATGGGAGAGGCCGCAGCGGCAGCACCGGGTCGCGAGGGGCGCGGGTCCGGGAGGCGGTGGCGGGGTCCCGGCTCCCGGCGGCAGCGCTGAGGCCGCGCTCGGCGCTCCTGGCCCTGCGGCTCCGCTGCCGCCTGCAAAGCGGCGAGGGCTGAGCCCGACCGGAGGCACCGAGGGAGCTCCGGGAGCGAGTCCCACACGGAGCTGTCGGAGCCGGTGGTGCTGCGGGGAGGAGGAGCGTGGTCAGCGGGCACCAACACCAGCACCAGCACCACCAGTACTGGCACCATTGGCAGAAGTACCAGCAGCACCAATACTGGCACCACCAGCACCAACACTGGCACCGGCACCAGCACCACTGGCAGCAGTACCAGCACCATCACCAACACTAGCACCACCGGCACCAGAACCACTGGCAGCAGCACCAACACCATCACCACTGGCAGCAGTACCAGCACCATCACCAGCACCACTGGCAGCAGTACCAGCACCAACACCGGCAGCAGTACCAGCACCAACACCAGCACCACCATCACCACTGGCAGCAGTACCAGCACCATCACCAGCACCACTGGCAGCAGTACCAGCACCAACACCAGCACCACCATCACCACTGGCAGCAGTACCAGCACCATCACCAGCACCACTGGCAGCAGTACCAGCACCAACACCATCACCACTGGCAGCAGTACCAGCACCATCACCAGCACCACTGGCAGCAGTACCAGCACCAACACCATCACCACTGGCAGCAGTACCAGCACCATCACCAGCACCACTGGCAGCAGTACCAGCACCATCACCAGCACCACTGGCAGCAGTACCAGCACCATCACCAGCACCACTGGCAGCAGTACCAGCACCATCACCAGCACCACTGGCAGCAGTACCAGCACCAACACCAGCACCACCAGCACCATCACCAACACCACTGACAGCAGTACCAGCACCAACACTAGCACCACTGGCACTGGCACCAGCACCATCACCACCACCACCGGCACCAGCCCCACTGGCACCAGCACCACTGACAGCAGTACCAGCACCGTCACCAACACCAGCAGCACCGGCTCCATCACCAGTGGCAGCACCAGCCGGCCCAGCAGGGCTGTACCTGGACTCAAGCTCGGATGTGGCCACATCGCTCCAGCTGCCAGCAGCCCCTGGCTCATGGCCCAGCCGCCGCAGCAGGTTGGCAATGGTGAAGCGGTACAGGGGCTCCTGGCGGGTGTTTTGGACGCGGAAGTAGAACCATTGGGTGTGCCTGGTGGTGAACAGGTCCGGCCACAGCCGCAGCATGTACTCATAGGGACCCCTGTGCAGTGGGAATGGGCCATGCGCCGGCTGCCAGCACCACCGGGGCCTCTCCACCCCAGCCCCTCTCTTACACCTTGATGGCTCTCTGCAGGTTGCCTCTCTCAAAGCAGCGTTGTGTCCTGGGGCCCCTCCAAGGGCGCTGCTGCCGCGGACAGGGGGCCCGGGGCCCCCCAAGATGGGCGCGGGTGAAGCGGGCGCCGTGGGGCACTGCAGAGAGGCCCAGCGATGGGTGTTTGGGGAGGCAGAGGGGGCACCCATGGGTGCTGCCTGCTCCCACTACCTGGGCTGCAGTTATAGACGACGGTGGCCTGCTCCATGCTCGTGGGCTGGCAGAAGGGCTCCAGTTCAGGGGGGACCCACTCTGAGGTGGGGGGCACAGGATGGTGATGGGGACCATGGGCACAGCAAGGTCTGGTGTTATGAGGGGGACAGAGCAGGAGCTGCCCCTCACCGACGTGCTCGATGCTCTCCGGGATGACCTCGCACTCCACAGGCCAGCGGGGAGGGGGCCGGAGCCCCCCCAGTGGGGGCCCAGCAAAGGGACCCCGTGGTTCCCCCAGGGCCCCTCGGTGCTGCAGGGAGGGGCTCAGTGGGCCCCGGGGGGCTGCAGGAGGAGCTGGGGGGGGGGCCAGTGGCACGTTGGGGTGGGGACACCCCCAACACCCCAAATCGGGGGCAGCCCCAGTGCAGGACGGGGGGGTTCCCCCACTCACAGCTCGGCTCTGGCCCAGGACCCTGCCAGTGGCCAGGATTGGTGCTGCTCATGCTGAGTGCCTCAGTGGGACGCTGCTCCGTGGGGTCCCCGAGGACATGGGGCTCTTGTGTGCACTCATCTTGTGGCCTTGGGGAGAGCAACGCTACGGCCCCACACTTGGGGGGCACGAGGGGACAACCGGGCAGCCACAGCCCCATCTTCCTACCTTGGAAGTAAACATAGTAGCTCAAGTGGTGATGCATGAAGCTGTCGTAGGGATCGGGGAGCAGCCCCCCCCCAAACCCCCCTGGTTCCCCCTCCTTGGGCTGCAGCACGGGAAGAGCTCCGGTGCCGCTGGGACAGGAGCCAGAGGGATTCAGTGTTCCTGGGCAACACCGGGGCCCCAACGGCATCACCCGGAGCAACACCAGCCCCAAACCACCCCCCTTCCACAGCACAGCGCGTCCCAAACTCCTACAGTTTATTGGACAATGGGCATGGGAAGGGTGTGGAACTGTACATGTGTAAAAAAAAAAGGAAGGAAAAGGGTCGGGAATGCCAACGGCTCCGGGGCCCTCACGTGCTCGACGCCGTTTTCCTCCGCTTGAGCCGCGCTCGCCAGTCCTCGGGCAGCGCCTCGAAGTTGGCGTTTCTCTCTGCCATGCCGCTGCGGGACCAACCAAGAGGGGTGTCAGCACCCCCACTGCCCCTATGGGGAGCGGAGATGGGGATGCGGGTGGCGGGGGGTGAGGAAGCATCCGTCAAGCGAAGGCAGCACGTACCTCATGAGCTGCTGCTGCTTCCACTCCTCGATGCGCCGCTGGGCCGTGGTCTCCCGGTCCTCCTCGCTGGAGCTGGAATTGTCCTCCTCATCCAGCTTCCGCTGGATGCTCTGCCACTTCTTCACCAGCGACGGCATCTTCGTCTTGCCCTTCTTGCCCTGTGCCAGACACGCCATGAGCCGTGGTGGGAGGCTGGCTGGGAAGGGGGGGGGTAGAGGCATCGCCGCGGCACCGCCGCATGCGCTCACCTTCTCCTTCCGCCCCTTCCTCGGCTTCTCCTTGTCCGGCGGCGGCGGTGGGGCCTTGGGGACGGGAGGTGGGGGGGTCTGTGGGGGCGGCGGTGGCGGTGGCTGCTCCGTGGTGCCGGTGCTGGTGTTGGCAGCAGGCAGGGCCCCTCGCACCGGTGCCGGCTGCACGGCGGCCGCGGCCAGGCTGACGGAGGTGGCGCACTCCGAGTAGCTCATGAGGGCCGGTGCGGCGGGCGCGGTGACGCTCATGTAGCCCGGCTGCAGCCCCATTGGGGTGGGCTGGGGGCCTGGCCCCATGCGGAGGTTGGGGCGAGCCTGGAGCTCGCCCTGCAGGCGCTGGCGGGGCCGGAGCGAGGCCAAGGGCACCGGTGAGGGCTGGTACTTGGCGGTGGGCAGCAGGGGCTGGCTGTAGAGCACGGGGCAGCTGCCGATGGTGGCCGTGCGCTGCAGCAGCGCCGGGGCCATCTCCACGGCTTTCCTCTTCGGTGGCTTCACCGAGAGCAGCGGCACCGGGCTGGCTTCGGCGGCAGCCTGGAGGGGAGCAGGAGGTGAGGGGCAGAGCCCCGAGGCCACGCACCAGCGCCCTCTTCGTGGCGCGGGGTGGGAGCTCTCACCTGGGTGCTGCCGGTGGCAGCCGGGCGCGGGAGAGGCTTCAGGGGAGCGTCTTCCTCTGTGCCCGGGGCAGGCGGCTCCTCGCCCCCCTCATCTTCCATCTCCACTTCCTGGATCTCTCCATCTTCTCCCGGCGGTGGTGGCGGCGGAGGGGGCGGCGGAGGTGAATCCGGTGGCGGCGGAGGCGGGGGAGGCATTTCCAAAGGCAAAGGAGGCTGGAGGACCGGGACGGAAGACTGAAGCAGAGTCCAAAATGGGGTGAGCGGCATGAGAGACGGAGCAGGAACTTGGCCTGAGAAGGGTTCTTTACAAAGGGAGCCTGAAGAATACACATCGACACAGGCTTGAAAACCCACGCGACGGACGGGGCCGCCTGCTGCTGCCTCCCTGCCAGGGCCCTGCAGGCAGAGCTCAGGCCATGGGCTCGACGTCGCCTTCCCCGGCACCGCTGCAACGACGCCTAAATCCAACGGGACAACGTGGATGCTTCACTGAAGGCACCACGAGGCCACAAGGAGGGATCCCTACCACCTGAGCGCTCGGTGCGGCCTCACGACGCCCACCCTGGGGCTCAGACCCCCCCCCCAACCCACAAGGATCCCCCCCTCAGCCCGGGCCGTACCTGCGGGGCGCTCGGCAGCATCCTCGGCGTGCTCTCCCTTGTCCTTTGGGGGTGGTTTAGGAGGACTGGCGCTGGCCTTCCCGTCGGCTGTCCGCTGGCCTTCCTCTTCGTCCTCCCCGTCGGGGAACTCCCACTGGGACTCTCCTGAGCGCTCGTTAACATAGAAATAGCGTCTATGCTCCCTAAAGCACAAGAAACAGAAGGCAGCTTTTAGCTTCCCTTCCCCGCCACCGACACTCCGAGGCGGGCCTGCCTCCCTCTCGCAGGGCTTCAGAGCCCCTTTGGCTTGGCAGCAGGGCTGCCACCGTTCCCACAACAACGTTTGAGAGGACCGGAGAGAGCCCGGAGGTGCTTTTGGCTCAAGAGCTAGTTTGCTGGCTGCCTGCAGGTCGCCCCTGAACCGGCCCCCCCCTCCCTTCTCGGGAAGGAGCAGCAGAGCGACGTCGCCAGGCCCCCCCCCCCCCGGGGAGGGGGGGCTTGCAAGCGCTGCCCCCTCGGGCTGGAAGTCGCCCTCCGAGAAGAGGCACCGGGAGGGGGGGAACAGCCCCGATGGAGAGGAGAGGCTGCCCCCCCCCCACCCCCGTGGTGCGCGGAGGAGGCGGCTTTATAGGGTGTCAAAACCAACACAGTGAATGCTAGAGAGAGGGAGCGGATCTGGGAGCTGAAAAACAAAAGAGCAAAGATTTCAAAACAAAGGAAAAGCAATTCCATCCAGAAAAACCATCAAAAGGAAAGGACAAAGAAATGTTTGGGTCTGACCTGCTGGCAGCAGACACAACTCTTGTTCTTCGTTCCGGCGGGGAGCTGGGGTTTGTCCTTGGGTAGAGCTGTTGGTCAGAAGAGGTGATCCAGCCATCCTGCAAAGTTCACAGAGCTCTCGCATGCGCGACCCCCCAGGCCCGCCCTCCAACAGCGCCTTCCACTCGGGAGAGTGACCACGAGCTCTGTCCGATCAAGGGGGGAAATCAGCTCCGTCTCTGGGATCCTCCGGCTGCGGGGTGCTTGCCTCAAACCCCACGGCGGTGCTGCGAGCGCCGGGAGATGCCGCTCTCTGCCTGCCCAGCATTGCTAACACAGCCGCTTGCTCTCAAGTGTCCGAGAGGGGACCGGCGCCCACGTCGTCGCGTGCTGATGGTCACAACTCATGTCTGAGATGTCAGAGATGAAAGGTGAGAAAGGGAGGAGAGCTCGTACCTGTCCCAGTGGCAGGACCAGCCTTTAGGGGTGGCGTTTATTTCGTATTGTTTGAGCTGTTCGCCTGCGTCTTGGAGTTTGCGTTTGAGGTAGTTTCCATTGAGAGCACCTTCGCGCCAGTCTGCAATGCGGGTCTGCAGGGCAAGAACCAAGGGGGGGGAAGTGGGGGGAAAGCTGTTGGAGGGAGGCCACAAACAGACCCCCAACCCCACCCCAGGGACATGAGGTTGGGGAGACTCCCTTGCACCGGGGAGGGGGGGAGGAGGAAGCCAGTGCCTCCGTGCAAAGCCATGCTCTCCCCCCCCCCCCCATACATGGAGGGAAGGGGAAAGAAGGAAGGGGGGCACACGGCCCCCAGGATCACCGGGCAGGATGTGATCCGCTTCGGAACACAAGGCCAGAGGGAGCAAGGGGAGCGGGGCAAGGCTTGGTTACCTCTGTCTGCAACAGCAGCATGTGGAAGTTGGAGATAGACTGCCTGTGGATGCCCAGGAACTCCAGTTTGTTAGTCAGGGTGTTTGCCAGCTCTCCGATCTGAAACTGCCGGGGACAAAGGGGACAGAGTCAAGAGCCACCCTCCCACAGCGGCGCCGGGCGCCCGCGGCCCCCGTGGCTCGCTCCAGGCCATCCCGGCAAACGGGGTTTGGGATGTGACTCCCCGTCAGCCCCGCTCCCTCCTGCGCCCCGCTGTAGCTGAGGGAGGGAGGTGCCAGGGAATCCTGGCTTCTCCATGCAGGAGCTCGTCCCAAAGGAAGGGAGTAGGCTCTGGAGTTACACCAGGAAGCGCTCCGTCTGATCCAACTGCTTCCCAAAGGAAAGCCCAAAGGGCTGGGATATGGTTTCAGGATTCCCTCGTGAGCAGAGACAGGATCTCCATTAGAGACTCAGTCCCACAGTGACAACCATCACGCAACCGCAGCACCCAGCGGGAGCCAAATCCAGTGTGGGCACTGCCCAGGGACAGGGGGATCCCCACGTCCATCCCCCAGCTGAGGGGAGGCATGGCAGCGGCTGTAAGCCAGGAATGGGGACACCAGGAAGGGGTACCCCAACGGGAATGCTCTGAAAAGGTTGTTTTCCCTTCACTCTTTAGCAGATGCCTGAGGCAGGGAAATGAATTCATTCCCACGTTAGCTATGGAGAAGCCAGGGAATATCCCAGTGCTGCGTGTGAGCGGGCAGAGGAGGCCCCGGTGGATCCCTGCAAACCAGAGCTGGCTAAAGAGAGATGACCCCAAAGTGATGAAGGCAATGGATTACCCGAGGAGACGGCATCCCTCCACCGCCTCCAAAGGGATCCCGCGTGGGGAAGTGCCACACTGCACTGCCCATCCCACAGCGCCGGGGATGGCTTGAAAGGCTCCAGGGCCAGCGAGCCTGGTTCTGCTGGGGACTGTTTTACCTTATTTTACTGAAAATTCAGTTAAAAACCTCCTCAAGCCTCCTGAGGATGCTGCTGTGCTGGGGCAGGGGCATCCCATCTCAGCTCTCCTTATTTCATAGGCGAGATGCAGCTCCCAGTGCTTACAGGGGCTGCAGGGAACCTGGAGAGGGGCTTTGGCCAAGGGCCTGGAGGGCCAGGCCGAGGGGAATGGCTTGAACCTGCCCGAGGGGAGACTGAGCTGAGCTCTTAGGCAGAAGCTCTTCCCTGGGAGGGTGCTGAGGCGCTGGCACAGGGTGCCCAGAGAAGCTGTGGCTGCCCCATCCCTGGCAGTGCTCAAGGCCAGGTTGGACACAGGGGCTTGGAGCAAGCTGCTCCAGTGGAAGGGGTCCCTGCCCGTGGCAGGGGTCGGAGCTGGGTGAGCTTTAAGCTCCCTTCCCGCCCGAACCATTCCATGGTTCTATGCATCTGCCAGGAAATCCTTTCCTTCCCCACTGGAAAAATAACGAAGTGGCAGGAAAGGAGGGCAGGGAGGAGGCTGGCTTTTGACTTCCCATCAAGAAACCACCCAGCAC